CTTAGTGCCTTTTGAAGGAAATGCGCTTTTTACCCCATTGCGGCGAGCAACCATCTATCTCGTCCCCACCCATCCCAATGTCTATCATTCAATCTTTTATCCACCCCAAATCCACCCAATCGTCCATGAAAATTGAAATTACATTTATAAGTTAGAAAATATGCTGATGCTGTTTAAAAATTTGATGTCGATTCTGTCTCCAATTTCCCCCAAAACGGAAATGCTTTTAATAGTCAATGGGTTACATTACGGTTGCGATTTTCGAAAACAAGCGGACAGATAGACAGACAAACGTGCCTTTTATCCGGCAATCATTCACCCTCTTCAAGGGCACCAAGGCTTGACAATTTAAATTTGTGTCTTACTTCTGTCACTCCAATTTCTACTGCAGGTAATGTGACACGTTGAAGTGAAAAGCTAGAGCTTCCGGAAAAGTTTTTAACTGCAATATACTGATTGTCGAAAACGGCTTTCTTGGACGTGAAATTGGATCGGTTGACATGTCAAATTTGCAAGAAATTTTTGACCTGTCAACTACTCAAGTAATGGCCTGTTTGTGTGTGTCTGAGTGTGTCTGTGTCCGTATTACCATGGCGGCCGACCCCCTCTCTGGTGTAACAGAAAACCGCACACATTCTGACAGGGATGCCTAAGGATCAAAAAGTGTTTGTCAGTCAGTCAAAAAATCTCAAGCAGACGCGTTGTGGAGATTTTATCAAGGGCACACACAGTAACAATTCAAGGTAGTGAAAGGTGTCAGTTGCTCTGTTTCATCATTCATGTCAGAGGGCATGTAAACTTACAAAATTTAAGTCCAAATTCTTGAGTTTGGATAAAAATCAGTCCAGTGGAAGTCGTCAATAGCAAAGCCGTTATTCATCTTAGAACCAAAGTAAAAACACTTAAAATACGCAGTACTTAAGTGAGGTACGAAAAAACCTCTCTTAACCACTTGCCCCTTTGTTTTAACTACCTTTTCCTCGAATGTGTCGCAAACAAAATCAGTTTCCGTGGCGATTTCTAACGTCCACCGTAATATGCGTTTGTTTGAATGCACTATTCAGACGAGGAGCGGTCAGGTTACACCTTTAACTCCTGAAGAAGAAACGCATTCCGACCTCTACTAAGCCTTGACAACCTGTGAACCCCTGCGTCACTTCTCAAGTAAGAGACGCCATCCCCTGTGCGCCCTTCTCGCTCCAGTGGTCCGGAAGTTAGAACTGAAAGAGGAAAATGGAAAACTCGCTGCGCTACCACTGCGTTAGCATATAAACTCAACTGGAGTGGATGACAATCCACCAAAAAAACTCCCAAAATTTGCCATATTTTGTCAAATTAGTACGCTTAGCTTCATCTATACCAACTCAATTTGCCCCCTCGAATTTAACTGGTCAGACATCTTAAGCACCCGCCCAGTGATTGGCCAGCCAAAGCGCCGACTTTAAATTTGGAAATTAACTTTATCATAATGAATCGTAGCTACACAAGCGACCCGCTTCTTTTAATGAGTGTACGAGCCTTTAGTATCGTAACAAAAGTAACATTTCTTATACCTTAACCTTTAGACATCCTGGGAATCCTTCTAATAAAATGAGAATTCTGGGCAAACATCACCATTATTGACTGATATCTGTCGAAAATAGGTGCACCTTAGCTTTCACATTTTTTCTTCAGCCCACACAACATCACACAACAGTTTGCTAATGGCTCTTATCGCAAAAGGGGACAATTACTGCAACCCCGCCCCATAGTCGGTTCAACCTATTGCGTGCTGGTCTATGTGCACGCGCACTAAATAAATCAATACTAGGGTGCATCCATAGGATCTGCTGTGTGCCGTTAGGTGATTGGTTGCCGTTGGCTAGTGGTTGACCAATCAACCACCGGGTTGGTGTGGGGGCGGAGCCCCATGGAATTTAGATTCGGTTTGGGAAGAGGAATCTCAACCTGCCTTTGCGCTTGTCTGTGTCAGTGGTGCCGCTGTTGTTGCTCTTTACGACTCTGACTTTCGCTTTCGTGATCTTCTGCCCAAATGAGCGACGTTAACGGTGAAACTTACTCCGATTCCAGTGCCTACTTGCGCGTGAGTAACCACTCTTTCAGAGCCTAGTTTCTTCTTAAAATTGCCTGCAATATGCTCAAAAATATCAAAGACCGACATTAAGCGTGCAAACTGATTTAATTCCGCCACAATTTGATTGGTCTATTTGTCTGAGTTACTCACTCACAATTGGTGGAGGTGTTTTGTTTGTCGCGTTGATAAGGTAGGCAGGTTGATAAGTACGGTCTCCCGACTTTTACTCCCTTTACCTATCTTTATATTCTTCTAACCACCAAGCTTACTTACTTATTACTTTAGTTTGCCTTGGCATTTCTTCCATATTGTGAAGTATGGGTGGATTCTGCTTGTCTAGGTAGGTATGTTTCCCTGTGTGTGCGTCAATTTGTCTAAACACCAGCAGTAGTGGTAGTCGCATTCGGCTTTTGGCGCATGTCATTCAAGGATCTCCATTAAGCCCCCAAAATGCAAAGGGCGAGAGAGAGAGAGAGAGAACGACTTCCGCATGTCTATGGGGCAGGCAGCATGCGCAATGTGTGGGTGTGAGAAAGTGTAGAAGCTTCTCCATTCTCTTAGAGAAGAAACAGGAGAGGGTTCAGCACTTCACAGAGGGACTGCATGTCTTCCTGCTCTTATAGCTGAACAGCCGATATGATGCCAACGCGGAACAGGAAGTTGTTCAATGGATAAGCCAGATTGTTGGCGAAACCGTTCCTCTCGGACGCGAGAATGTTCAACGCAGCCTCAAGGATGGAAAAATTCTCGTGAGGTTGGTAATTTTTTTTCTCTTAATTTTTCTGTGGTTCTCTATTTCCCGCAAAAAGGTCAACACAAGTGTCGTCCTGGAGCGCACTCATTGCTTGTTCACAAAGCTTATTGGTGATTAAACAAATCGGCAATTTTCTTTTGTGAAATTAAGGACATAGTGTAGTTGAATTTGGCTTGGAAAGAAATATCCTACCCGTTTAGGTTTACCTTTGCTCATCAATATTAACGCTAAGTTGATTTGTTTTTTTTTCTTCCTGCGTTTGAAATGCTGGTCGCTTGAATAGACTTTATCTTTTGTTGAGACGGAGATTCCTCATGAAAAATAACCCCTGCCTTAGTGTTAGATTAGGCAAATTTGGTTAAAACTTTCCTCCAAATTTTTGTAGACTCATTGATGCAGTCTACGAACGCACGTCACATCTGCCACCAGCAGCTCAAAGTGTGCGTCGTCCGCTGAAGCCAAACACCATGAGTGCCCCATTCAAACAGGTATGACCTGTAACACACGGATATCATCAGGCACTTTGTTCGGTCCGGAAGTAAAACTGCTCATTCTTTATTTTACTAGATGGAAAATATCCAAATTTTCTTGGATGCTGCAGAAGCCTATGGAGTACCGAAAACGAGTCTCTTCCAAACTGTGGATCTCTACGAGTCCAGGAATATGTCGCAGGTCATCAATACTCTCATGCAATTGGGCACGGAGGTATGTGAGAAACCTGTAAATATTGTCAAATAACTGCTTCTCGGAAAATAGGAAAGCAGGAATTTGATGAGTTGAGAGTCAACACCAGGAAACAGATCCTTTTGTGTGTCTAGCGGAAATCCCCAATTTTTTAAAAATTAGTTTAGGGGTAACAAAGTCCTTGGGCTAGAAATTCTAACCTCACAATGAGGAGAATCCGGTCCACTTTTTTTTTCACTTTTAGTGTCAGAGAAACGGTTTCCAAGGTCCAACATGCGGACCAAGGCCGACCAATAAACAGTATCGTCAGTGGACGGAACAGCAGCTGCGTGCCAGTGAAGGGATGGTCTGCCTGCAGTCGGGAACAAACAAGTTTGCCTCACAGAAGGGCATGACCTTTGGTGGAGTTCGTCATGCTGCCGACATTAAGGCCGATGACATTAGTCTTGAAAGTATGTCTGCCCAGTGAACTTTTTCGAGACGCTGCGGTGACTCAGCTACTTGTCAAAATTTTTCATTTTTAACATATAGTTAACTAAATGTACATTAAAACAGGAGAGAATTGAAGGATATCAAAACAAACTAAATGAATGCTTAAAGCGCTGTACCGAGGAGAAAGAGCCCAACACTTTTCGTTACGAATCCGTAATTGATGTGGGTCTTTTGCTGGATGGTGTCACTTGCATCGAACTTGATTACACTGGATAGTGGGATGAATGTACTAGATTTGAGAGACAGTTGCATCCAGAATGAATGGATGGGTAATAGGTCAATCGGTTCGCATTCCATGGTAAAGGAACTCGGAGTGAAGAGATGAGGTTGCAGTGGATGTACTTGTCATACCGGGGTGGATAGACTTGCAATAAAGCGCAGAGGTATTCTATCCCCTCCATCCCGTGTGGCTTCCTGTGTCTTGCATTTTTTAGGTCAAGGCATTTGTAGCCTCCAAATGGGAACCAACAAGTTTGCTTCACAGAAGGGTATGTCGTTCGGTTCAGTGCGTCACGTGGCTGACATCCGTTGTGATAATGTTACTAAGGAAGGCCAGGGTGTCATCACTCTTCAGATGGGCACCAACCAATGCGCGTCTCAAAAGGTACGTCTCAAATTTTGCGCCTGCTTTCTCTCACCCAGTCAGGCTTTTGCGTTTGAACCCCCGCATCTCC